TAAAACCACAATCTTTATATATAAAAATGTCTCTCTCTCTGTCTCTGTGTATGTAATGTTCCAGCATAACTCTGGAACAACTTGAGCAATTTCAACCAAACTTGGTGCACAGATGACTTACTCTCTGGAAACAAATACTGTGGGGATAAGACCCCGCTAACATCCCTTGGAATGTATGTTCTGTTAAGATACAGCCTGTTGTGCCTTAAAATGGCTTCTATTATACAGCGCAGTGGAGTCGCCATGGTAACGGCTTCACAGTACTCCACAAGGGGGCTACCTCTGGTAAGGGGAAAAATCCACCACTAGAAATTACATTTGGTCCAGACATTTGTGAAACCTGGCAACGCCAGGTTAACAGCTAGTAAATAATAAAGAGATCTTGAACTGGCTGAGTTTTGGGATCAGACTTTAGGTTAAATCTTTCTCCTGCTTTCAGACTGAGACTAATTTGCCTGATGATTTCTTCAATGAAGATACTTCAGGGCTATTGGAATTGAGAAGTACTCCTGCAGCAGTTGCTGCGAAACTGGGGTGAGTATTGTTTCTTTTGTGTTGTATTCCCCCATATTTATGTCTTGGTGATCTAGCTTGAACTATGGTTCAAGCATCTCATTGAAGTGAACACACTTTCTCCTGGCTGGATGTAGCTGACGGTGAAGAATATTCTCCATTTAGCATATTTATTTATCATCATAATATTTTCCCTTTCTCCCGGAGCTGGGCTGAAGAGGCCTCCATGAGGCAGCAAATGATGCAATGAGGATCATATCCTTGTAATATAAGCTCCACCCCCGTCGCATATCTATTGCAGTGTTGCATGCATGTATGAAAGGGGCTGAGCTTATGTCATGATTTCATCATTTTGCTGAAAGTCTTATAGTCGTATAGCTCCCTCTATAGAAATGGTCATCTCTGCTTGGTACCCTAGCCTTTCTAACCACGCCACTAAATTCCAAAGTGCTACCATTTTGAGACACAAAAATGAGAACTGCATATAAGCTTATATATAGGCTTTCAACTGCATAACCCTTACATAGGCTTAGTTTAAGAAGATATGGGGGAACATCACAACTTCTTCCCCACAAAATATTTATTAATATCTAAAACTTGACCCACTTACATATGTGAAGCTAAAGTTAACCTTGCCCTTCCGCAGGCATGTCAAACTCAATTTCATTGAGTTCATCAAGGCTGCGGTTGACCTCGGGGGGCCAGGGGTGAGTGTAGGCAACTGGGTGGGCGTGGCCACCTTGACACCACTCCCCAAACTGCTATCATGTTTCCGGGGACGCCATTCCCCAAACTGCTATCATCTGGGTAGACCAAGACAGCTCCGCGGGCCGGATCTGACCACATCGCGGGTTGGATGCAGGCTGTGGGCCTTGAGTTTGACCCCCCCCCCATACTACTGCATCTCTGTCCTACTAACATGACCATCACTCAATTGTAAAGTTCCTCAGAGCATGCCATCTTTTTGCTCCCAAAATTTTCCCATTCTGTTTTAGGATATTTGATACTATCTAAGAATGCTGGGAGTTATCAGTTAGTCAGTCATTTTATTTATATTAATAAAATAGTCCCAACACATGCAGAAGGGGCCATGGTGGAGAAGGCCAATCTAGGAACTGGTGGTAGGATTACAATTGGTCTAATTCAATAAACTAATTACTTCTATCAGAATGTATTATACAGGGGTATTATGTTTGTTTTGCATTCCATAGATTCATAGCTGGTGTGATTAAAAGAGAGAGGTTGGTGACTTTTGAACGTTTGCTGTGGAGAGCCTGCAGGGGAAACGTCTACCTGAAGTTCAGTGAAATGGATACACCCTTGGAAGATCCTGTCACTGTAGGTACCAATAGGTTTTTAATTGTGTTACCTCAGATCTTTTACCTGGGCTACAATGCCAGGAAATGGCTGGGATTGTATTTGGTTGCGTCTGTAACCATTTTGAAACAGTTTCTCCCTAAATCCTATTTCCTTTCCCAGAAAGAAGAGATGAAAAAGAACGTATTCATCATCTTCTATCAAGGGGAACAGCTGAAACAGAAAATCAAGAAGATTTGTGAAGGGTGAGAAAGAGCATTTTGACTGTAACTGAAATTAATGAATCTTGAGTTGGTCAATTAATGAAACTTGAGTTGGCTTTCAGATTGATCTCAGTGGGATTTTAATGCCCACTGTTTTGTCTTGTCTTAGACAAGAGCCAGCCTGGAAAATTCAAAGTGTAATTAAGTCCAGAGTTGGAACATGCTGATACAATCCAGGTTGCCTGTGTGAGATTTAAATCTTTACTCACAACTATCTGATAGAGAATTATCACTATTACAATTGCTTCTGGTTATGTCACTGAAATTGATATTGAACATGTCATCCCAAAGATGTTTTTTAAAGAGGCAATTGGACTTTGTTTGTTCTTCCTTGAAGACGTGTCACTTCTCATCCAAGAAGCTTCCTCGGTTCTGGTTGGGAATTTAGATAAGAAGCGTCAGAACTGAAGAAGCTCCTTGGATGAGAAGCAAAACTTCCTCAAGGAAAAAAGCACCTTTGGGTCAGCCATGACCTGGATAACGGAGAATCTCCATAGATATATTGAACATGCCCCATGGATTACAAACGTTTGGGGGTGAGGACAGCTCCTTAAAGAGAGGCAAAATGATATCATCCATGTCCATATTGAAGATAGGGGTCCTTCGAGATTTACAGTACCTTAGAAAATTTGAAGCGCCACATTTCTAAATCCAAACCATTTATTCATGGGCTTAGCAGCTATGATGGCGAACCTATGGCACACGTGCCACAGGTGCATATGGAGCCCTCTCTGGGGGTACATGAGCTGTCACCCCAGCTTAGTTCTACCACGCATGTGCGCGCGCCTCCCTCCGGCCAGCTAATTTTTGAGTCTTTGCTATGCATGTTGGAGATGCATGCACATGTGCAGAATCGGGTGGTGTCATGCGCACATGTGCAGGGGGTGGGGGGAGCAGGGTGTGTGTGGTACAGTCCCCATGCCCCATTTTTGGTCCTAGGAGGCTTCAGGGAGGCCTGTTAGGCCCATAACGGGGCACAAGGAGGGCTGTGCACATGCACGGGGGGCACATGATATTATGGGTGTGGACACACATGGGCATGATTTTGGCACACGGGGACAAAAAAGTTAGCCATCACTGACCTATAGAAATTCAAGATTTAGGGTTATTGCTAATGTTTCTGTCTCTTGTTTTTTATTTTACTGCACGTTGCTCTTAATTTTTAACACTAGAAAAATTAATGAGTGTTAAATTTTACCTACCAGATTTATTAAAATTGGAAGCAGAGCAAAAGATAAGCATTTCCCCCAAGCCTTCTCTCTTTCAAATGAGGATGCTGTAACACTAATAGGTGTTCTCCAGCAGATTTTATCAATTTCAAAACTCTCCAGTGAATAGTTCATGTGCTTTCCTAGATGAAGGTGTCATTAAAGTAAAAGTGACATTCTGACAGGCAAAACCGGCATGCAAAAGAACTGTGAAAAGATCAAAGCTATTGGGCTGAAACCTTGTCTGTGTCGGGAGGGGGGGAGGGAGGGAATGTAGCTTGTGTGGGCTCTTTTAAAGAGAGACATTTTTTCAAGTACAATTTGAGAACTTAAAAGTTTGGTTTAAAATAATGGGGTGAGCATCTAAAGCTTTTCCTAATGAAAAACTAATTAATATGCTTCAGTTGATGGTTTGATTTGAATAGATAATTGATGAATCCATGTCGTGCTTGAAGCTGGAAGAATATAGGCATGGATAGCAGCATCAAGGTGGGGTGGAAGACAAAATAGTGTGATGGTAACCCTACCGCTGTGGTATGCAGATGTACAAAAGTAGATGTTGTGGCCCGCCAGCAGCCAGTGGAGCTGGTGGCAGACTCAGACAGAGAGGAGGTTGGGGAGAAACATGGGCCAGTCCTGGAGTCTGGGGAAGGCTCTGAAGAATGCTCTGCGTCNAGAGAGAGAGAGAGAGAGAGAGAGAAAGAAAGAAAAAGAAAGAAAGAAAGGTAAAATAGTAATTTAAGTAGGTATCATCAAGTCAGGCCCAGTTTCAGTGACTCTGTCAGAGTATATTCATGAATTGGAATAGGGCTTAGTAACAAGGTCAGCCAATGGGAGCTGAAACACTTGGGAGCCTGGGCATGGCTTAGCTCTGTAGCTCTGTGTCTGCGCTAGAACTAAAACTAGTCTGCTGCTGGAACTGAAACCAATCTCTCCTCTCCACCACATTGGAAGAACCACTCTTGGTATTGTATAAATGTCTCGTGTTATTATGTATATAAAGAGAAGTTAATGAATCCTGCTGCCTCAGTTACCTGTCTGTGCTTTCTGGATTTGATTTCTGCAACAAACTCTGACAGATTGTACCATCCTGGCCTCACCCCAATGATAATCACTGGCTGGATCTTGCAAGGATATTTCCCTGATACCTTCCGACTATCTGCTTTATTCTTTGTCTCTTCATTTTTCCACTTTTCTCAACCTCAGCCAAGAAGCATCCTCTCTTCTAATTGATTGTTTGCTTACATTGTCTATTTTAAGTGTCTGAGTTTCTGTTTACCAGTCTTTGCCTCAAGGGACCAGTTGTTCAGGACCAATTGATTCATCCATCTTGCTGTTCGTGGTACTTTTAATAACAATTTCTTTCTCCCTTGTATTCTTTCTCAACCACCCCCCTCCCTCACAACATTTGCAGTTTAACACAGGAAAACAATTGCTTTTATTATTCTGATCTTTTTATCTGAGAAATAGGCTCATTCTGCATTATCTTTTCTAAAATGGTATTACCTTTGTCCCTGGGATAAATCTCTTTATTTCTTTATCAATCTTGATTCCAGAAAAATAAAGTTATTCACCGTCTTGGTTACTTTGCTCTCAGTTGTGTTTTCACTGGGGATATTAGCTGATATCTTTTTCTTCTAAATATAACATCATTTTTTTCACTTCCTCGTTTTAAACTGAGCTATGCCAGAGGAGCCATTCCACTCTTGCCATTCTTGAAGTACATTTGCTAATGGGTTAAAAAGATCTAAAGATCATATGCCTTCTTAGCTCAATTCTTTTCTGAATCACTGTTTCTCCAAGCTCAGTTCTTAGTTACTTGTTTATTGTAAATATTTCTCAGAAGAATCAGATATTCTGCATACCCATTCACTTTACAGCATTTAATTAGGAAACTCAGCCTTAGTAAATTATATTTTGTTTAGCTTGTTAAGTTCCATCATTTAAATTCTTTTCGTAAAATTCTAAGAATTACCTATGTAGAAAGCATCACATTTTTCACCCTCTTTATAAATAATGGATTTAAAAGAACCTTTGTTTTTGGTCTACAATCTGGGCAAATATATTACATGAGAAAAAGATATAAATGACCTACAAAATTATGAATATGAAACTATATATATTTCTGTAATAAGTTAAAATTATCATTTGTTAGGTCTTTTCTTAAAGAGAAGTTCTTCACCTTCCTTCTGCTTGCATGATAATTAGTTACAATATTGTCCATGGTGATACATTAGCTTGAAGAAATAATTTTACTTTGATCTGCTGATGGGTATGTCCAGTTGAATCCTTAGATATGTTCTTCCACTAAATGTTCATGACTTTATCATTCTTTATTTTCATATAAGCTGATGTGCTAGAATCATAATTCCTAGAATTCTTAGCCATCAGCCTGGATTGGATGGATGATAGAAGATAGATAGATAGATAGATAGATAGATAGATAGATAGATAGATAGATAGAT